CCGGCAGTGAGTGGTAGGAGGCATATTTGGTAAGGAATTCGCGACTCATCTTGCAAGATCGGAGTATAAGAGAGCTCGCGCGGAAGAGACGGGGGTTCTTAGTTTCTTATGTTCACAGTCCTCGGTTGCTAGATTCTATGTGTAGTGTGTAGTGTGTGTGTTTTGTGAGTATGAAATATACAGTGAAACGGCAGTTGTACACGATTACCAAGTCTACCTTCTACGTATTTTGTTTCTAAGTTAGTCACACATTTCACGGCGCATATGGCAGTCACCTATAAGCGCACAGTTGTCTGGCAGCAGAATAACCCAGCGACTACAATATAATAGAATCGGGAGTGTACAATATAGAGGAGTATGACACGCTCGAAACACAAGAAAGTCAACATTTCCATGCCCCAGTTTACCTACGATTTATTATGTGAAACTCAATAAAAATGAATCAGAAGTGGCGCTGTACATCCAACTTGCCCTCACACTTTACCTTGTATTGATACCTCTTCTTATTATGTAGTTATAGCTGCGAACGTCAGACGTGGTTTTAGTCATTCACCTACCGTATATGATCGCGTAATAACCGCGGTCGCCTATAAGCCGCACCTCAATTTGAATCGGGTAACCAAGTTTTGCGCCTAGTATATTTCCCCTCGTGGTATGGCGCACTTATAAACCGCAGAGAAAATACAGGGTTGAAATCTGAGGCCAAATTTGCGGTTATTACGCGATCATATACGGTAGTCAAGCGGGAGGCATTCCTGGCCGATGGAAGTAAACAATTGGCAGCTCGCGGTGAGACACCTATAACGTGTGGCACGACTGATGCACGCTGATAGACACAATGCTGTAACATCTCTTACAGTAGTCAGTGTGTCAGGACATTTCTTTAGTTTATTCATCTTTGGTTACAGCTCTTTGATTCACAATCTTCATTCACGATCATTGTTCACAATTTTCGTTCACAAGCTTTATTCACCCTTGAAAACAGATTGAGATTTTCAACGTGTCTCCTCGGTTATATTAAATCGGCGTCCTCAGAGCTCTATAAAATTATTAAATAAACTATGGTGTTGATGATAATGATGTGTTTTACAAAATATTATACAATCTCAGCCCTGAATATATGACAGACAGATATACATTAACATCTGAAGTCGACAGGTTTAGTACCAGGGCGTGTGAGATGTCATTTTTCATGTAAGGGTAGGCATAAATATGAATGGTTCTTTTACGTGCTATTTTAAATACTGCAATTGAGTCGCTACCAGGACACGTTAAGATAACAACCATATATCATAGTTTTAAAGTATAATGTTAAAAAAACGTTTAATGGAAAATGTTGAAATATTTGAGGCAGAGTAGTTTTGAGTATCAATAATTTATCAACAGTGAAAATAGTAAAGAAGAATGTAAAAATTATGTAAAAGGTTTAAACTTAAGTATGAAAAGATTATTTCTGACTCTTAAAATTGCTGCTGTTTATGATTAATTGTATTATTGCAAGGACCACAATGTAAATAAGTGTGCTTGGCATGTTTTTTGTGTATTTATATTTAGTAGTTATCTGAGATTTTGAAATAAAATGTTGTACACATTGCTTTCAGGAAGTGGGCATCATAATGGAACAACCACAGGCAAATAAAGACCAACCACCACCGAAACCGGCAGCTGCAATGGTTTACATCTGTGGAGGTAACATAGTCACAGTATATATTGACAAAACAGTTAACACCAATTATAGAGGACTGATAACATGTTTAACAAACTGAATGTAGTTGTAAACATGATTTATCATGTGATGTTCTTTAAGAGTCACTAATTTTTGTGCACAGCAAATCTACTATAATGGTATTGTGACTCGTCAGTATTTTGCATCAGAACCTGTATAACCAATACTGGCTATTTAAACATTGTGTGCCACAGTATATATTGCCTCTTAAAAACAGTTAAATTACAAATTTCACTGCATATAACACCGTGTTTTGGAAGACATTCATCTGTTCATACAGGTGTTGTTGTGTATTTATACAGAATGTCACCAGGAAAATGAAATCAAGGCCCGTGATCCTATTCGATGTCGTGAGTGCGGCTACAGAATCATGTATAAGAAGCGGACAAAGAGGATGACCGTGTTTGAGGCTCGGTGATGACAGATATGCACGGAACCACTTGTAAATACTTGCTATAAATCTTCGCTATATCTACACTGAAGATACTACACTCTGGAGACAATTAGTCTACTAATGCTGTGCTGTAAGATGTAAGAGTACTGGTCACTACTTGTACTCTAGTTTAGTGCAGATTATACATGTTCTTTAAATTTAATGTACACAGAAACATGTGTAAACCTCAATGACAGCAGCCTAATGTATGCTATTACAGGCAATAAATGACATTCAGACAAGCTGGCTTATTTACTGTACATTTCATACTTATTACTCTATTATCATTTAAGAATACATGCTGTATGTACAATATAGTTATTCTCCAACACATGATCATATCTTATATTTGCAGCTTAGTGCTCTGTGTTAAGCCTTACTGTAATATTATGAAAGTATTGTACATGAAGAGAGGCATCATGACATACAGCATAGACATATACACCGTAGGAATCCCGGTACTATGGAAATTTTGTGCAAGATTTCTATGCAGTTTCTACCACTGCCATATCATTACTGAAAACCGCTAAACAACCGTTAAAAAGATGACGATAAGCAGATAAGGTGGGGAAATGAAACGTGACAGGAAAATGATAACACACTACAATTATACTGGAAGAGGAGAATGACATAATTGTATAGACAAAAATAGCATAGGGCAGTGGAGAGGGCAACTTGTGCCCATTACTGCTTACTAAAATAGATTACAAAATTCAATTATTTGACAAGTTGAATTTCAATTGCTAATCGGACGACTGTTATGAAAGACTACTAACGGCCAATTCTGCTTATATCCTCACACATCAAGCCTGCCCAAGTACTTGCTCATACGCCTATCTAGCTAAGAATTATATGCCAAATAGATGACAATAAAATGCTTAACTTCATGTTTCATTTCTAAAAACATATATTGCTATATTACATCCCTCTGAAATTGCTACTGCATCGTTACAGCTTTCTTATACATTTAAAAGCTGCCAATAGACACTGCACCAATGTGACATGCACAGTAACCTTAGCCTAATTATATTCAATAGCTAATAATGTATGTAAACACATCACAAATTTCTTCGTTTTTACTATACACACATCACCATTAAGGCATATTTCACAACAGTTTGAGTAAACCATGATAAACTAATAGGTGTCCATATCCTAGTGATAACAAGAATCACCAAGACTATAAAATAGATCAGTAGTTGCCATTTAAAATTACCATATGGGGCAATATTTTAAACTTGGGCATGGTACATATGCTACATAGCAAACAACCTTCCATTTTTACTTTCATAAATAATTTACTGTGGATACCAAAAGACACAATTTATTGCACATACACATGACAAAGAAAAAGTATTGATTGACTGTTGTGTGTGTAATTGACAGTGTGGATCAACTGAAAAAAAAACATGTCTCCTGCCATCACACCTGTTTATAGTATAGCAAGATTAAAGAAAAATTGATCTGTAAATTATGTCTCTGGACCACTACCGGCCTGTTTTTGTGTGAAATTAGCATTGTCATGTTAGTAAACTGTCTAACGATTCGAGATAAGTTTATCCCTATTTTGAAACAAAATTTCAGTAATTAACTACTTTTAACACACCTAATATATCCTACCAATAGAACAAATTGTTTTAAATAAAGTAATACAAAATGATTGGTCATCAAAACTAGGTTTTGCAGTGGGTTTCTCAAATATTTCTTTATCAGATTAAAAATTACAGTGATATGTGTGACCTTTGGGAGTTTGGCCATCTGACTTTTTACTAATGCAATCGACGTTTGAATGGGACTGTCTTTCTACCATAATCTAGTGTAATCGTAGCTGTATCATGCATACTAACTGGGCATGACCATTCCTTACTGAGATATCACGAACAGTAAATGGTACCGACACTAACGTCATTGCATACGTAGCCTTTCATTTCATGAAATTAAGAAACACATTAAATATGGATAGAACAAATTCTTGTCTAGCCCTGTGACAAAGCAGTCCAACACACATTAGCAAGGATGTGGCCTCTATACAGAAGGACAACGCATGACACAGCCTTGGGTTTGCGCTACATTATATATCTTAACAGATTACAAGAATATACTATCAACAACACCTGCTTGACTATAATATATAAAGCCTTAGGTTTAGCACTCATTATTCTACACAGATGGGTAGAACACCCACGTCGTGGCCACTGGTTAATTCGAGGTGTGCACTCTCAAACATTGGATGTTCCCTTATACATATACATGTGAAAGCACTGATCACTATCCTGCTGAATTCTCTGATGACGAAGAGCTGTCCACTACTGCTGCTGGAGCTGCATCGGTAGTGCTGCTTGCTGACGTTTCATCAGATGTTGTTTCAGTGCTCGTCAAGTTGGCGCTAAACACAAGCAAACACACGTAAATAAACTTGCAGACCAGGCCTACCATACTAGAAATTACAATGTATAGAAACTAACTGAATGATACCAACTAGAAACGATTGAGTTTTCCACTGATGTTTCAAGACAGTTACCAGGGGATAGTTGAGCTGAATCCAGAAAAGTCTGCCCATCCTTCTGTAGAATCTTCATCTCCTGCTTCAAATTTCCATGGAGCTGGCTCACTATCTATGTCCCAGGCATCTGATGTAAACACATCTGGTGCAGGATTCTGCGCTGTGTCCCACAGATTCGGGTCATCTGACACTGTCCCAAATGATGATGCTGGTGCCAAATCAAAGTTCGCCCAGCCTGGAGAAGACGTTTGCATCATTATATTGAGCGAAATAACAACATAAGCGAATAAGACCTTTTAGATTTCAGTGAACCAGTAATGTCACAAAACCTGAACATTGCCTACCTTGGTCATTTGTCGCGGCGGGACCAATAAGATCTCCTTTAGCTACAGGTGAAGCTGAGACTATTTTCCTTGGACCAGAGTTCTCCTCTTCTTCAGAGCTGCTTCCAGATCCCTCAGGTTCCTGCTCCAAGGGCAGCCTGCAGAGTAAATAGTATTATGTACGACATAAATTATAACAAGTAACATTAAGATACCAAACACAACTCACTTTTACACCACACAACATAATGAAAGTTACATCACACTATCATTTGATCTACCGCCTACATCCCACTGGAGGTTATCGGACAGATAAAACTTGTAAATGCTCTGAATACACACTTTTAATTGTAGTAATTCTCAATAGACAGCTTAGCTCTTCTGCTTGCAGAAATGCTGCACCAATCTAGATTTCATGACAATGATAGCCGAGAGCACGGAGAGCTACTCACTTGTCAACACTCCGCTCAGTTTCAGCTGCTGCGCTCAGAAACACGTTCCCACTGCCGTCCTTGAACTCCCAGCCATCATCATCATCATCGTCATCATCATCATCATCGCTACCATCACCGAAAGACCGACTCTTTTGGCTGGATATCTTTTCAAACAGGGCAGCATCACCTTGCTGTGTAGGGCATAGAACGGGGACAGTTGGCATAAAATAACTTGATTTGCAAGATTATTATACAAAGGAATGGTATTGCATGCTACACATGTTCAAAATAGGATGAACAATAACGATGAATAATCAAATTGCATTTCAATATGAATTGCTAAAAAAACTACTTCAAAATTCGGTGTGCAAATTTAAATTTAAATAATTAATAATACCATGTCCACTGCATCAGACCTAACCAGTTTGATCTTGTTCAACCTTCCATCTAGAGGCGCACTAAAATACAGAATAATCACAGTGTGTATACCTCATACTATAAGCAAACTGCTATTGATATATTGCATACTATGACAGTATCATGAGTATGAGCAGTTGGTGAAGTTGTCACCTATTAAATAATGCTCCAGTATGAAAACTCCTTTATGGAGATTACTTCTAAAAATAAATAGAAATGCCATGGCCACACATCCTAGTATAATTCAGCAAACAGGAACGCACCCCCCCCCATCCATTCACCTACGGCCACATGTACCCCATCAACTAGCACATTTTCCTTTCACCTAAACTCTGTCCAATCTCACTCCCACCCTGATTCCTACTGAAACTCCACACCACTGCAGCTTTCTTTCTCTTAAACTCACTCCACCCTTGCACTCACTACCACTGCTACCTCATTGCCTCATCTGGAATGGATAAGTTTTCATTCCTGAAAGCAAACCTCGCCAAGAAGTTGTCAGTCATTTGCTGCAGGCGATGTCTTTCAAATGCCTGCAATGAAAAAGGTATTGCGATGGCATACTTATTCACCTAATACTAAGTAGAGTAACATTTAGGTAAAGTACACAAGTTTAAACTAATTCAAGCCAGACACCACCCATTGTACATAAATAATTTACCTGTTGGAAGGCTGTTTCATGAGGAAAATCTGCATTTGAAAAGTCACCATCCAAACTGGTGTGTAGCATCGGTCCTGTTATCTATATAAGATGACACAGAGATGCGTTGTCTTATATTAAGCATGATCAAGGTCAAGGTCAAATAAAAGCCACAGTGACCTGGTTTTTGTACGCGACACATATTCTCCCCAAGATGTGTAAGTATACCAAGTTTGGTAGCGCTAGGTCAATTAGGGGCCGAGTTATAGAGCGGAAGGGAAATATGAACAAGGTCAAAGTAAAGGTCAAATAAAGGTCGCAGTGACGTGGTTTTGGTACGCTGCTCACCTTCTCCCCAAGATGTGTAAGTATACCAAGTTTGGTAGCGCTAGGTCAAGTAGGGGCCGAATTACAGAGCGAAAGGGAAATATGATCAAGGTCAAGGTAAAGGTCAAATAAAGGTCGTAGTGACCTGGTTTTGGTGCGCGACACACCTTCTCCCTAAGATGTGTAAGTATACCAAGTTTGGTAGCGCTAGGTCAATTAGGGGCCGAGTTATAGAGCGGAAGGAAAATATGGTCAAGGTAAAGGTCAAATAAAGGTCGTAGTGACCTGGTTTTGCTATGCGACATACCTTCTCTCCAAGATGTGTAAGTATACCAAGTTTGGTCGCGCTAGGTCAATTAGGGGCCAAGTTATAGAGCGGAAGGAAAATATGATCAAGGTAAAGATCAAATAAAGGGGGCAGTGACCTGGTTTTGCTATGCGACATACCTTCTCTCCAAGATGTGTAAGTATACCAAGTTTGGTAGCGCTAGGTCAATTAGGGGCCGAGTAAGAGAGCGGAAGGGAAATATGATCAAGGTCAAGGTAAAGGTCAAATAAAGGTCGCAGTGATGTGGATTTGGTACGCTGCTCACCTTCTCCCCAAGATGTGTAAGTATACCAAGTTTGGTAGCGCTAGGTCAATTAGGAGTCAAGTTATAGAGCGGAAGGGAAATTCTCTGCGGCGGACCGAGCGGCGGCGTCTGGGGAGACATGAAACCATAGTATCCCCGCCGACTTCGTCGCGGGGGATAGATTTAATTGCAGACAACATATGCAACAGAGTATTTGATGAATTTATAAATATATAGTGAAAATATGAAACCTAAACTGATACAAAAATTTCTGACCAAAAACAATACATTTAAAAATGAAATTTGATTAGACAAGAATTAATGAATAAAGACAATATATATTGTAAAAGAAAATTCCTACTATATCAGGGGCTTGCTTCTTATTGATATCAGTGAGTGGTCCAGCCACAAATTCTTGCCATTTCTGCACACTGTCTGCAAGGGTACCTGAAAATGAAAACACATGGGAACAATAGCTGTATAACAGTAACATTAGCAGGTAAAGCCTTTGTTCATGAACAATCGTGAGTAAATAAAAAGAGACACAGTTGAACCTTTCACATTTAAGACCATAATGTCTATAGAGCATTGTTAACTGAAATTTAATGAGAAGAGGATTACCTATACTATTACATAAAGTATCTAGAAAACATTCTGAATTTCTTCAAAATTTCTCCAGTACTGTCTGTTATTTTGTTTGTCACAATTGCATGTCAGTGCACCTTGTAGCGCCGCCCTTGTGCATGCTCACTCACAATGCGTGCATGCCACACACACATGGTGATATAGTTATTTTAGATTATTGAGACCGTTTAAAATGAAGCACAAAGTTTATATACAGTACAACTACACCATTGAATATATTTAATTCACATGGGCTTGTGACAATATTAACCTTGGGATGTATTACACCTGACTCACCTGTTTCAAAGCTCTTGACTAGTTCTTCGCTTGACTCTGCCTCTAGAAAACTTGCAATATCATTTGCTATTTTAATCACATGCCCCATGTAACCAGGCCTGCGGCAACCGCTGTCACATTTTTCAAATGACTCCAATATCCTCTGTTTCAAGCGACACCCACTGAAAAGCTAGAGAATAATATAACAATATTAAACTTTAACCTAAAAATCTTATTAAGTATTTAGGCAAATAAGGAAGATTTAATAAAGATCAAATATTTCTCATCACAACAAAAGTACAAATTACCTTGAAATAATGTTTCATAAAATCACAAATGATGAGATAAGTTACTATCATCAAGCTGTTAGCATTTTAGAAAGTGTGATTTGTATTAGATAAATTTTTACAATGTTATACTTATACACTATTCGATAATACAGATTGATGTAAATTATTTTAAAGGTTAATATCAGCAACATTCATAGAAATGTTATCAAGAGCGTATTAAGAAAGAGAGCGTACAACGGTGAAATGCTGAAACCATGTTGCAGTATTAGTCGAATTAAGAAACTTTGCCCGTTTTATTTCGATGATTCTTTGCGGTGTTATTATTCAGCTGTCCTTCCTTAATAATGTAAAACCAACCGCATGTCCCTACGATGCCCCTACGCTGATATAATGAGCGGTGAAAATCTGGTATTTTGCCGAAAATCGAACTAGAGTTCACTGCGAGCTGCGACTGTCTCTCGCTTTGGTGATAGCTTCAAGAAACCTCGCGTGTTTCCGTCATTCATTAACAAATGAAATTACGTTTCCTTCTACTATCTTTTCTCGCATTTCCAGTCATGGACTCCACAAAAACGTCTTGTTTTTTATTGCCATGGTGATGACCCAACTCTTACGCTGGATGTAGTAACGCTGTAGTAATAACGTATCGAGTCAGCGCTACAGCGGCGACCGGAAGCAACATACTGTCCACTAAAACGAGAGACAGTCGCAGCTCGCAGTGAACTCTAGTTAGATTTTTGGCAAAATACTAGATTTTCACCGCTCAATATCTCAGCCTAGAGACATCGTAGGAACAAGCGGTTGGTTTTACATTATCAAGGAAGGACAGTTGAATAATAATACCGCAAAGAATTGTCAAAATAAAACGGGTAAAGTTTACTAATTTCACTGAAACTACAACATGGTTTTTTCATTTCCCCGTTGTATGCTCTCCTTCTTAATATGCTCTTGATGTTATACAGCAAACACAATGCTAATAGTTAGTGTGCCCTATACAGGACTGATGAGGGGCAGTCACTTACATGCTGTATTAGAGGGTGTCCTAGGACTGTGTCTCCTTCCAAGGGTGGGGCTGCAAACACAGAACGTATGCTGTGTTCGACGTGAGTGTGCAGAAAGTTATTCCACTCGTATTTAAAGAACAGGTCCTGCAAAAAACAGAATTTTACTTCATCACTACAATTGATTAAGGCAGTCACGAGCATATTTATACTAACAGATCGTACACGTGTAGATATTTTCATGAGCAAATGTAGCAAATTCCTGTGTGAATTCAAGCGTGAATTCCAGGTGAGAACGAACTTATATTATAGAGTATAAAATATTTCTCTCTTTTAGATTTTTAATATTTTCTGGAAGCAAATAATAAAATAGCAAATACTGGTAAAATGTGGAAATAATGGTGAATTTTTTGTAGAATTTATACACATTGCCGACGTAGCATCTTCTAGCAAGTAAAATGTAAATTTCTAAAGTTTGTATCATGCAGTGTGTGAAGACTGACCAGTAACACATCAAGTGTACCAAGCCTGGCAAGTTCGGCATCTATCCTTGGTTCATTAATCTCTATGATGGCGGAGACAAGCTTTGCCACTTGAAGTCGTGCAGATCCAAACGGTGGATCAAGTGTTCCTATCGTCGTTATCATTGGCATAAGCTGGACAAATAATTACCAACTATATTTTACACGAAGTGGAAATTAATGGATGCTGGACTAACAGGCATGGAGCCATTACCTACATTCTATAAAACACTGAAATCCTTTTTTTGCTTGAAAACAAATGATACACATGGTTTTGGAATTGGTTATACATCTGTATAATTCTACTGCCCATTCTGTGTTACTTCCATAATGCTAGTGTTTTTTATTAAACACACTTTACAGATAAAAATGTGCTGAAGAAGAACTCCTAAAACGAATAAATTATGTTCAACATTATCACTGAAAATTGGCATATAATGTTTGATGACATTGATTATAGCACTACATGACATTTTATGTGTTTGCTATGATGTATATAAGCCACAATAATCCTCGACTCTCTTACAGCAGGTGGCTCTTCCAGTACGTTGTGTAGGTTGTGTAGCCGTGGAATAAGGGCCTCCACTGCTCCTGTTATGTCCGCTACAGTAGACTCGAACTTCTCTTGAAGAGCTGCCTCCTGCTCAACATCTGCCGAACTTCAATAAAGTATAGTAGAAATAAGATATGGTGAACAATATAACATCAATCTAAAATGTTTCCTAAACACACTTATTTTTACTTCTACTTGAATTTGAATTTCACTACGAGTATACACTTACTTTGGTTTGGAAGTATCAAATATCGCAAGAAACACGCTTATTCCATGTACTAAAGTTAGTTCTGTGATTGACCCTGAGAACATTTGATCCAACAGCTGTGAAGCAGTGCTCTCTCTGAAACGAAAACATTGACATTATTATTGCTAGACTTGTATCATCTGTTCAGTCAAAATTTGGTTAGCAAAATGATGTGATGCTAGCATGTCTAACCACATTCACGTGGGGTTAAATAGTATCAAATCAACACACAGGCAGGCATGTGCAACGTGCGTGCGGATGCATAGACATACACACATATATCAGACCACATGTGGCTTAATGCTGTCAAACAAAATTTGCCAACTTTACTTTCATTTAACAAACAACTTCATATCTTGTTTCTATCCCTCCATGTACATATACTTATGAATATTCTTCTATTAAACATTCATTGTGTGAACATCGGTTTCATCCAGGAACATGCATTCACAAATCTAATTAGTCCATCTATGAAATCCTTCTTGGTGAGCACCATACTTCAGCCAGAGGCAATTTCAGCCCATCCAGCTACCAGACAGATCTGCTCTAGGAGAAGGAAGCGCAGATCAGAAACATCTAGCCATAAATAGAGATACTCACGATTCCAGCACTGACAGCAATGGAAAAGTATCCGTACTGTCTTTGTCACTGTGAGTCTTCTGGTCTCGCAATGATATTACCATATCACAGACAGCCTGAGAAGCATAGCATTGCATCTAGAAAATAAGAAAGCAGTACTTTAGTGAAGCATTCTATCAGAGGAATAAGTGAGCACTATTTTATAAGGTCAAAGATTGACTCAAAATGAAATCGTTTCAATTTATTTAGGGGTTGATATTAATTTTCATTCACAAATCAACCTATCTGATTGTAGAATAGCACTAAAATATACAATTATAATCAGAGACAACAAAGTTGGGACAACGACTGTAGTTTTAGATCATGATAACTTAAAATAAGCATGGCTGCATTGGCTCACCTGTTCTGAACTTTTAGGTTCGATTAGGCTGACAAGTTTCGGCACCAATTTCTGTTCATTCAACCACTGCAAGACAGCAGATAATCTCATGCGTGTGCTAATAGCGGAAGACTTATTACCACATAAAAAACACAACTACTGATAATAGCCAACAGTTACCTGCTACTGCTACTATTACTGCTACTGCTACTACTATTACTATTTTAGTTATTCTATTACTATACTATTACTATTACTCTATTACTTTAGGCATACTGAAAACATACTATTTATTTTCAAGTATCACAATATAATTACATATTCTTCAGCATCACCAATACTAGTTAGTTAATATACAGCACCTTAAAGCCGCACAATGCGCATCCAAACGCTAATTTCTTCAGTACTAGACTAGCAAATACTTCGTGTCATGCATAATCATACTACCTTATGGCAAAATAAACTCTAGTTCCTCCCATTTGACTGCGCGTTCCCAACAAGAAAGAGGTGCGAAATCAGGTAATCAGGCGCCAACGCTAACTTGTTTCAAACAACATAACATCGAAGTGGTGACGTGACGTCAGATGTTTTTATCTTTGCTGCGCCCGTACCGCTGTACCGCGGCACCGCTGCACGGTTGCTTGGAGATTGGGGAACTGTCAACAACATCAGAGGTATTTTCAAAATACCTTTTATAAGACAACGCGCAGTGAAATGGGAGGAACTAGAGTTTATTTTGCCATAAGGTAGTATGATTATGCATGACACGAAGTATTTGCTAGTCTAGTACTGAAGAAATTAGCGTTTGGATGCGCATTGTGCGGCTTTAAATACTAGATTGCTATTATCCAGTATGTTAGTACAGGTATTGTTCTATAGCTCAAACCTCTTTGTACAAGCATCGGATATTGTGAGGTTCTGCACATGTTGCAAATCGCAGAACTAGGTCCATATTAGCAGACTTGTCAAGATGTTGCAGCACTTCGTCAATCATGTTTTCCCTGCCACTAATATACTTTAGCATCTGAAAAACATCCAGATGAAACTCTTACACTACAAGCTGCAGGTGGAGAACTTGTGCTGCAAAAGTACCTTTAATAGATAAAACTTTGGTTTGATGAATGAGGTGGATGTATCAACTAATGCAACATGAAAATAAGAAAACAAAATATATGTATGGCAAAGTAAAATAAGTCACCCAAAATTTTGGCTATACATCCAGATTAAATGATAAAGAATACATTATTTAACTTAGTATAATATAAACACGGCACAATTAAACAACAAATTAAAACTGAATCACAACAATAAACATCCACATAATCACATCAACTATACTAATCAACTGTATAACTTACAATTATACAATTTATTTTCTAGGACAATCAACATCGTTATACTGCTTGTCTGTTGCTAATGCTACCCACCATATATAAGAAATAGAAATTATACCGTCTCTGACTTTCGCAGCACCAAAATTCCAAGTGTCTTGCTAAAGAAACTGGCGAGGAGAGGATTCAGTGGTGACTGCTGTCTGATGAATGTGCATAATTTGTCTAGCACATCTATGCTAGAGGAAAGAACTTCGTTCATCTTAGACACATCACATGTCAACAGCTCACAGGCCAGGTTTGCGTATCTGCAAAGATATACATGCAGCTAAACACACACTGAAACAATTTGAATGTTTAACGTGAAACCTAATTGATTTTAAAGAAACTCTAATAGTCAAAGGTAGAATACTGGTTTTTCTCAATTTCAATTCAAAAATTTAACCTATCTTATGAGAAGACGGGTAATACATTCAGACTAAATTAGGGTAATATATGTATACAGTACTATACGCTTACTTATATCTCATTGTCTCTACTTCTCCTTCTGGTGGTTCTGTTATAATAAGATCCACCAATTCGTGTAGCACCTCTGGCTGAACAAGGCTAAAACACAACACATAGTAATATTGTTTAATGAACAACTGGGTGAGTTTATAAGATAACTATATACATATAAGCAGGAGCGTATAATGACAAATATTGCCATTATACGCTCCTGATATAAGATATATAATGGGTTCATAATCGTTCAGACTAACAGATATATCACCGCAAGACTAACGTCCACAGATCTCATATACTGTTACTGCCTCAAGTGATGGTTGGTAAGACTTGTAAAAACACAGAAGGTATCGTTGTAAAACAATTAAATTAATGTTAGATTATACTACATTGATAACCTGATATATTGAGAAAAGGGGACAGCAAGATAACTATTATTAAATAACTAAATTCACAGATAACTATGTGTACCACCTATAGATTACTTCTAGTAAAATGTTCTTCACAGTTTGTAGGTATATATAAATTAAAATTATATTTACAAGACTATCAGCTTATTATTCAGGCCCTTGCACTCTTGCAATAGATCTTCTTCCTCCATTAGTTTATGAAGGGTAACATCCTGTAAATAAGCCATCAATATATATTTTAGAGTAAGAATTTACAAGTATTACATGAATAACAATCTTACTTATAGCAATAAGCTCAGTCTAACACATGATTTCTGTATAGCTAAAGCTATACTGAGGAAACATAAACGTGTTTTTGACAGTAGTTTATAAAGAACGAACTTAGCTGATTGACGACTCTTTAAGTATAACCGATTGTAACACGAGCTTTCACAAAATACGTCCACTCTCAAAAACATCGCTGATGCAGTAAAGATATAGCTACATCTTGACATATACTCATATAAGCATACGAGAAAGGTATGTATACGATATTACTAAAAACTTGATTCAATTGCATCTGATTCTCAAGCTTACAGTATCATTATGAGGCTAGCTGGTAATACTGGTCAATGGCAATGCTTAGAACATCGGGGTGCTGTCTTGTACTTATAGCCAACCAATTTTACATATTAAAAAACAGTGCATTGTAGGACTCTTCCACTTTTAAGCTTATGAATAGATAAAAATACAATTAGCATTTAAAGCATGTTTGCTTCACCATTATCAAGTATCTGAAGACTATAGTATTTCTTCATGAAAAAGACTGTCTTCAGCATGTTCAGTACATGTACTTGTATTTGAATTACGTGCAGTAAAGATTTAATAATAATAATAATAATAAATTGCATCCGTTTGGTAGTCGAAAGCTGTCACCTTACTATCAAACATAGTCGCCGAGCATGTACTGTTCAATCGCAAAGCGAAAGATAGGGCCTACTGACAACTGTAGCAGAAGAAATGGCATGGCAAGGGGAGACTGCAGAGGTGACGTGACCGTAGTAGAGACGTCAACATTCATGATAATAAATTACTACTTCGTAATTTTTGTTTAATAATTATTAGGCCTACTCTTTGACATTGACAAACCTTGGGTATACTTCAATTACTTGCATGGTTTGCAAGTTTTTATGCAATACAATTTCCTTAAACATTCTAATCCGTGACTTGTAAGCTACTAATCTGGGGCGAATGGCAGTGTCTAGTGCCGTTATCTTGACTTATTAGTCCTATAAAGTATAAGTTAACATCAGGCATAGGCAACTTTTATTCAAACGCCCCTTGGTCACAAGTTGGTGGGTTGATCCCTAGGCCTATTCCAGTTCAATACCTCGTCGTCAAGTAACGTGTCGACGTTGGATGTTGCTACCATATTACATTTCCAAAACATCGTTGATTTTTCCTATACAAACGTGCTAACAGAAATAAGGTTTGAAGAGTTAATACAAAACCATGAGCAGATAGATATCGTAAAATATTAAAAACACAACAAGCATCAAAATCACAAGTTTGTCGCGCCCTCTTGTGGGAATTATTAGAATCAGTTTGCCTACATTTTTCCATACTTTGTGTTTTTTTACTTTCATTAAATGCGTATGTATGTATGTATACAAATATTTTTGTCATTATACGCTGGTTCGGTATGTATGTATGTATGTATGTATGTATCGTATGATGTATGTATGATGTATAGTATGTAGTATGTTGATGTGTGTGTGTGTGTGTGTCGCCAGCTGTGTGTGTGCAATGTGTGTGTGTGTGTCGCCTCTGTTGTGTGTGTGTGTTTGCTGTGTGATGTGATGTGTGCCTATAGTAATGTATGTATGTACCTGTATGTCATGTTATGTATGTATGTACTGTCATGTATGTATGCTATGTATGTATGGTATGTCATGTATGTATGTACTGTATGTATGTAGCCCTGTATGTATGTATGTGATCGTATTGTATGTATGTTATGTATGATAATGTACCTCGCTATGGTATGTATGGTATGTATGTATGTATGTTATGTTATGTTAGTGTATGTATGTATGTATGTATGTTGTATGTATGTATGCATGTATGCTATTATGGATGTATGTATGTATGTGTGTATGTATGTATGTATGTATGTATGGTATGTATGTATTGTATGTATCCGCGACCCTGATGTATGTATGTATGTATGTATGTATGGTACTGTATGTCATGTATGCTATGTCATGTATGTAGCTGATATGTATGTATGTATGTATGTATGTATGTATGTATGTGGATGTGATGTATGTATGTATTGTATTGTATGTATGTATGTATGTATGATATGGTATGGTATGATGTATGTAATGGTATGTATGTATGTATGTATGTAATGATGGTATTTACTGTATGTATTGTATGTATGTATGCTATGTATGTATGTATGATGTATTGTATGTATGTATGTATGTAGTGTATTGTAACTGTATGTATGTATGTATGTATGTATGTATGTATGTATGGTATGGATGTATGGATGCTATGATAATGTATGTATGTATGTTGTATGTATGTATGTATGGTATGTATGTATGTAATGTATGTATGTATGGTATGTATGTATGTATGTATTGTATGTATGTATGTCATGTATGTATGTATGGTATGTATGTATGTATGTATGTACTGTATCGTATGTATGATATGTATGTATGTATGTCATGGTATGTATGTATGTACTGTATGTATGTTAATGTATGTATGTTATGTTATGTATGTATGTATGTATGGTATGTTATGTATCGTAGTGTAAGTGTATGTTGATGTATGTTATGTATGTATGTAGGTACGTATGTATGTATGGTATGTATGGTATGTAATGTATGTATGTATGTAGTGTATGTATGTACTGTATGTATGTATGTATGTATGTATGTATGTAGTGTAGTGTATGTTATGATATGTATGTATGTATGTATGTCATGTATGTATGTATGTATGTATGTATGTATGTATGTATGTATTGTATGTATGTATGTATGTTATGTATGTATGTATGTATCGGTATGTATTGTATGTAATGTATGTATGTATGTATGTATGTATAGTATGTACTGTATGTATGTATTGTATGTATGTATGTATTATAGTATGTATGTATGTATGTATGTATGTATGTATGTATGTATGATATGTAGTGTATGTACTATGTATGTTATGTATGTATGTATGTATGTATGTATGTATGTATGTATGATATTGTATGTATGTATGTATGTAATGTATGTATGTATGTAGTACTGTATGTAGGTATGTTAGTATAGTATGTATGGCTATTATGTGATGTATGTATGTGATGTATGTATGGTAATGGTATGTATGTATGTATGTATGCTATTGATGTGATGTATGTATGTATGTATGTATGTATGTATGTATGTATGTATGTTATGTATGTATGTATGTATGTATGTATGTATTGTATGTATGTATGTATGAATGTATGTTATGTATGTATGTATGTATGTATGTATATGTATGTATGTATGTTACCTCGCGCTCTATATGTATCCGTATGTATGTATGTATGTATGTATGTTATGTATCGTTGTATGTATGTAATGTATGTATGTATGTATGTATGTATGTATGTATGTATGTCTGTATGTTGTATGTTATGTATGTATGTATTGTATGTATGTATGTATGTATGTATGTATGTAGTGTATGTATGTATGTATGTATGTATGTTATGTATGTATGTATGTATGTATGTATGGTATGTATGTATGTATGTCATGTATGTATCTGTATTGTATGATGTATGTATGATATGTATGTATGTATGTATCGTATTATGTATGTATGGATGTATGTATGTATGATATGTATGTAGCTATGTATGCTATGATATGTATGGTAGTAATGTATGTAATAGATAAGGTATGTATGTATGTATGTATGTATGTATGTATGTATGTATGTATGTATGTATGATATGATATTGTATGTATGTACAGGGGCGGCGCACGGTATTTTCTTACGGGGGGGCTGAAACAAGCCGGCGTGTACAGGGAGCACGCGAAGCGCGGGTCTGGGGGGCTCTCCCCATGCACACATTTTTTGAATTGACCCCCTCAGATGCGTTTCTGCGCGTGAGCAGGGGGGGTCCGGACCCCCTGGACCCCCCCCTGTACACGCCGCCTGGGAACTGTAGACTGATACCAAGTGTGGCGCTTTGCACTGACGGGTGGAGTCCAGGGGTAGATTCATGATTCTCAAGCTGCGTACTGCCGCAAAATATTTTGACGTAAATCTTTGTGTACGCCAATCGACGGTTGCTTAGTTGCGATTCATCAACACAGCTATTTAGTAAATTTTCGTATGATTTCGCGTACGCAAGCGATCGGCCGTATTTAGGTGCGATTCATTCAAGCTAAAAAATTTACGCTAAACCTTTGCGTAACGTTACATCGAAGCCTGACGCAGTGCCGTAAACCACTCGAACTTTCCGCAGGGTTTACAGCATTACGGCAGCATGCCATTATTTTATGAGAAAACATTATAAAGTTACTACTCAACTAAAAATAAATAATAATTACCATACTACACAGACAGGCGGCGCCTTTGACGCATTTTTTGTCATAGTTGGCATTGTTTTGCGTTATAGCAAGTTCGATAGTTAGGCGTGTACGTGCACACGCCGTGCGCACTTGTACGTGCACACGCGCGCACTTTGTACGGTGCACACAAGCACGCCACGTGTACGCTACACAAGCACGCGACGGACGCCCGTGTAAGTACGCAAGCACGCACGCTGTTACGTGCACACGCCACGCACGTGTCCGTCACAACACGCCCACGCCACGGCACGTGTACGTGCACACGCGACGCACGCCACGCACGCAACGCACGACGTACGTTCGTTCGCTGCTGTCATCGAGTTGTTGAACACAATGCATACAAACGAAAATGGAGGACACACTTCACATCCCCCAGCACTCCTGTAGGACAGCTAGAGCCATATGGTTTATTACAAAGAGAGGCGGGTCAGTTTGGTTCCATATGGTATGTGTCGCACAGTGTGATTGGTTTATGCTAGGAGGCGCGCCCTCAACAGCCAGCAGCTACGATGGCGTAGTGGGCATTTACACATGGAATTCATTCAACCATTTGCGTACGCAGCGTGCTACGCTGCGTTGATGAATCGCACCCTACGAGCTGGCGATACGTTACTTCGTAGAAACTACTGGTACGCAATACCCACTATTGCGTCACGTTGATGATTCGGCCCAGGGGCCCTCCTTTAGTTGCCCCTGGTGGGGTCCAGGGCAGAGCCCTTGGCAGGGGTCCGGGAGCTCTCATGAGTTTAGCTATATTCAAAGCCCGTCAAATTGCTTGACAAAAAAATTGTGCAGGGGGAACCAAGGAGGCAAACATATACCAAGGAGATGAACCCCGGGGCGGAGACTCACTCCCACATATTGGCGGTTAGGTATCTGGGTATGTGCCACTGCCGAAGTTAAAAATGGGGGGGGGGGGATGGGCTCTGCGAAACTAACTCAGACCTGAAAATGGTCGGGTCTCCTGGAACTAATGTTGTATGAAAGTGGTATGCTCTGGAAGCCGGCTATGTTCGGGGGAAAAAAAAAATGGGCGGTCTCACTGCGAACTAGCTAGCGCTCTCTCGCTCTCTCGCATTCAATGCCTATAAAAACTGCGACAAAAGTTTAAAGAGGCGCCGTTCTCCGGAAACTGATGAGGCACAGTGATTTTGCTTTAAATCGTTATGCATGTAGACTTGAACAATATTCTTTATTTCATGTAGAGGCCGAGAAAAACATGACCCGCGAAGAGAGCATGAACGCACGCACACGACACGCCACACACACACACACGCCACGCATGTACACACACTTACATAAAACTAGACATGGGGCACGTCAACGGATGGAGGAGCATACCATTCGGCCAGCGACATACGCCATTACGCCATACGACTCAACGAACACACGAATAACCCCGATATACGCCAGCGTACATCGCTCGCCGCTCAGTCAGCCCAGCAGCGGCTGTGGCTGGCTCGGCTCGCTGACGCGCTATATCAATCGCGTCACACACACACACACACACACACACACACACACACACAACACACACACACACACACACACACACCACACACACACACACACACCGCACACACGCGCGCGCGCGCAGCCGCGCGCGCGCCTGCTAACGTGTACACGAAACGCACAGACCCGATCACAGACCCTCCCCTGCCACTCCGTGGGGCGCAGGGTAAAAATAGATAGATGTCGAGTATTATTAGCAGGAGCTCCAGTCTGAACGTCTGCTAATTATATCTTATAATGTTGTTAACAACCCCTCACAGTGCTGCCTACCTTTCCGCCGGGAAACACGCATTCATCGACAAATGATGGTCCCACTTGTGGACTCCCAGGACAATAACACCTTGAATCGATTATCAAATTACAGCACAGCCGTTTTATCATGGATTGAATTTCGACCACTTAATTTTTCGATTTTCGA